TTCCGTATCAGATGGGAAGATGAGAGCCTAAGCATAACCAGCTGCTTTGCATGGTTAAAAGGTTGGGCTTCATGCCCTACATATACCATCTCAGGCAGGTATGAACTGTATGAGCAGTTGTTACCTATGAAGCTCTACACAAAGGAGAAGACGCAAATCTCCACCGACGGCGAAGTCCTATGCAGGTTATGTGGGAAGGTAGCTGAAAGCGTTGCACATGTATTGGCTGGATGTTCCTCCTTGGCACAAACCAAGCACCTATACAGGCATAATGCAGCTTTGAAGATTCTGTTTTTTGAGCTCCTGCGAGAGCATGGGTTAATAGAAGAGGTTCCACCATGGTACTCACCGGTGATGCCAAAACCAGCCTACCAGAACACCACGAGTGAGGCGTTTTGGGATATTCCCATCTATGCAGAGCACAACGAAGTTAGAGCAAATCGGATCGACGCGCGACTTGTCAGCCACGAGAGAAAAGAAGTCTACACAATTGAAATGAGCTGCCCATGGATCGAGAGTAGAGCTAACAAAGATGAGTAAAGACACTCAAGTATGGGTCCATGATGTGGGAGCTGAAGCAGAGGTACATTGGTTACAGGGTTGAACAGTACAACGTAATAATTGGCGTACTGGGTGGTTACTCTAAACACCTAGAGAAGTCGGTGAGGAAGCTACTTGGAGCGAGAGCACGGGGCGTACTTGAGCGAATGCAGAAGTCGGTCATCTCAAACACTTTGAACATTGCCAGAACATTTAAGATAAATACTTAGTTAGGGCGCTAAGGACTCCAGTTTTTAGGTTTTCTTTTTTTTTTTCCTCTAGAAATCCAGAAACACAAGTTTGCTGATGTTTTTACCAAGATTTTTTTAGAGTATTAGAGTTTCATATTATTCTAAATAGTCTTTTACCAGAGATGTCCATATTATGATGGCCTTGTTTAGGTATATAAGAGATAATGAGAGTATAAAAACTGAATAATTTTCTAAACAGGCTTTTAGAGATAATTATATCATCCTGTCTTTGCGTAGGTTTTACAGAGAAGAAGAATTTAATAATAGTTTGAATTGGCTTTTTAAGTAGAGAGACTCATATTATTATGTATATTTGGATTGTATTAGGTTTCGCAACGACCTTTTTTTACTTCTCTCCCCCCGGGGAGGGTGGAGTGGAGAGATAAAAAGGAACGAGAGGAGGCGGGGGAGGAGAGGGGGTGGAGAAACATAGGTTGGCTCTGGTTAGATCGCTGATTATTGGATGCTGCACGATGAATAATGAACACATGTCTATTTTTCAATGCTCTCAGTCCCCATAACACTCTCCAACGAATTGATTCTCTTCTTTTTAAGGAAAACATGTCAAGGAGACATGATCTAACACCAGTTAGTAACCACACTTAACCCCCGGCAGAGTTAAGTTTCGAATGTGGTGCAAGCTAAATTTAGGAACGCAGCTTACTTACGGAAGGGACTGATCCAAAGCGTATACTAGGCTAAAGTTCGCGCCTCCTGTTAGCCTGCATTTCTGTGCATACTCTACCAATCTTGAGGGAAATTAATAAAAGTATAAAGTTGAATAAGTATATATTTTTTCTTTTGTAGGAGGCTGAGAAACACTTATGTTGTTCAAGATAAAACTAACTTCTGAGTCTGTGAGTCAAATCCTAAAATGTGACTATTCAAATGAAGTTTCTGAGCATTATTTTCCTGTTCGTGTCAGGATTATGCTGTATGGGTCGATTTAACCTAAGGCGGTTCTTCTTTATAATAATTACTTTTACCTGTCAGCCGAATTTCGCGCTTCCCCCCAAAAAAGGAGGCTTGAGCGCAGCGATTATAAAGTGTAACCATTGAAATAAACGCTACCGAGTATGTTCGGCTTTCCTGGGCAAAGTTTATTATGCGTTACAAGGTGTTTACAGTAATGGCTAGTTGTACCGTTCGGTTATCATCTGCTGTTGCTTTTAACCTGACGTGTTCGATCGATAAAAGCGATAATCAATAACAATTGATAAACTCGATAAAAATTCGTTAATTGTATCAGAAATCGATACAAATCGATAAAGGGATACGTTGTGAGTAATCGATAATTATCGATTTTTAAATTATTGTTATCGATTTTATCGAACTTATCAAATTTATCGGCGCAATACGTCTCCACGTATTTAAGGGCAGCGAAGCATCAAAACTTCCCGAAAACCAGTCTAACAAAAAATTACTCTCGTAGGATGAGTTTAACGATTTATTTCACAAATCAGATATCGAACAAATACGTAACATGATCGGTATGATACTTAACATGATTCAGCGAATTAAACGTGATTAAACTCCCATACTGAGCTTGGGCGGCCTGTGATCATCCCACTATCTACCTGTGTCCAGAGTGGAGGGGGTTTTCATTGACCAGTTATTTTCTTAGCTAGAAAGTTCACAACACTTTCTATTTGATATATGGATGTTGCCTTCCCATTTCATCATTTAATGCTTCAAACAGCGCAGGGTAGTTTCTTAGTGTTGTGGGCGGGTACAATCACCAAATGACGCAGTACAAGACTAAAACACACTGAACGATACCCAAACCACAAAACAATTAAAAATAGCTGACTAACAAAGGTTTCCGCAACATTGAGAAACAACCGAAATTAGTCATAAGCCTGCTTTAGTTTCGAGCATCGTTTTGGACTTATTCCTACCTCTGGACTTCGGTTTCTACTTGTGGTTTCTCTTTAACTTCGGTCGTGAAGCACGCAGGCCCAAATATATATCTAGCCGAGTTTTTGAAAACCAGCCTTACGAAATTTCCAATCATTTGAGTGAGAAGGCGTCAAAAGGTAGGTTTCTTAAGCCCAAGAAGCTCCAAAATCACTGTAAGGAAAGAAAAGGAAAGAAAGAAAAAGAAAGAGCGAGGAGAACGTTGCACTCTTAGTTTTTACAATAGTTACTTTGGAGATACTTCGGAAAAAAACTTCTGTTGCACGGAAAAGGTCCTGACCATTTGGCGATAACGTTATCAAAAACCCGGCTAGTTACATATGAATAATAATAAGAAGAAGACGAATGATGGTTTATTAAAATACACATGGTGGCATAAAAACTATGAATTACAATTTGCTTACATAAGGTACAACTAAAAATAAAATTACATTGGTTTCAGAGGGACTGGGATTACAGGCTATTTATAAGTTATTTACAATTCAGATATAGATAAGGGACAATACTAGAGATAACTAGACTCGTAAGATTAGTTAATTTTCGCCATTGCTGGGAAAAAACTAGCACCGAAGCGTTTTGTTCTATACTGGAAGCGGCTTGAACTGCTACTGTTCCTAAGATGGAAAGAGTGGCATTCGGATCGCACGGGAGGGAGAAGGCGGTGCAGCTGGCCATCCGGGTTATTTTTGATATTGTGCCACACTTTAAGACACAGGTGGGCGCGTCTATCCTCTAAACTGGTAATGTTGGCTTGTCATCTTCCATGACCCGCTTCAAATGTCATAAGAATGGAGACTTACTGCTTATTGTGTTCAACAATTTTTCTCCCAGATAAACACGACTGAAACGGCACTGCACGTCATTTTGCCGTGCAAGTAGACGTAAGTCACTCTGAAGTCTATGCCAAGTGCTGTTTCAGGACCGAACGCGTCCGGCGCACAAACGATCTCTTAAGAGAAAATTGAGGGGCTGTGAGCAGGCTTATGACAGTAGGAAAGCTTCCATTTATATGAGAGAGCTGGTTTGAAGCGGCTCATAGAAGATGTATCTTTAAAGTATATTATGGACTTTAAGATGCCACGACGGCGACGACAATGAGAACGTCAAAAAAGCAATAGGTTGAATAAGCAAAACAATAACTCTGCACGTGCATCACGTTTTGTACATTTCTTTGTCGCCACTGCACCACTACGACGGGAAAATACCAAATTTCACGTTTTATGGAGGACGTAAACAAGCGACGGCTTAATTTTCTTTCTCTTTCTGAACTTGAATATGGTTGTTAGGATTCAGCTCAAAAAGAGCTCGTTTGTATTTAAAAAAGTAAATGAGTTAGAGTAGAGGTTGAAAGAACGCAAATTCACTTTTTAAGCGACGTCGCCGTCGTGGTATCTTAAACTCCCTATTGACTTGTGTGCAAACGTCGGTGATCGCAAAGAGGGCATTTAAGAAAAATGAGCGAAGCAAAACAGAAACCACAAGTGGAAAACGAAGACACTTGGTTAAGCAAGTTAAAAATTCACCTCAAAACCGAAGAACAGGCTTTTGTCTAAGATACACAGTATTTGCTTTTTTTCCCCATCGAGATCGTTTTTCACATACCGTTCAATAGACCTCTTTGACTTGAAAGTTTTGTTTTCCCAATGAAGTCTCATGGGAATTCGCCCTTATGTCTTCCAGTAATTTTACTTAATACATATGCACTTGCAGAATAAGAGAAAATTTGAAAGAAACCGTTCTCAGGAGTATCATAACCTGACCTACATACATTGGGAAAAGATTAGATACAATTGCAAGTTAAAGAGGCCTATTCCTAAAATATTAGGTTAACCATTAACAAAAATAGATAAGTAGTTGTAGTTAATACAGCAAAACATCGAAACAAGTCAAGAAACGAATTCAAGTCAAAAAGACTACTGCAAAGACTGATCAAACAACGTGAAAAAGGCTGAGGTGTACAATATTTCGACTGGCCAATACCAGTCTTCATCACGTTTATTAGAAAGAACCACGAATTTAATTACAGAATATATAATGAACTATCATTATTTATCTTTTTTACGGTTTATTTTTCTTAGCAGCCTCACCTGTATCTTACCGCGTCATACCATGTAACTTCCGTTTATTATTTTACAGTAGTACATGGTTTTTTCTAATGAACCTGATGAACACTGCTATATAAGGTTATAAACGGTTTTTTCAAGCAACATCAGCTATAAAAACTAACGTTTTAATTCTAACTCTAAGTTTTGCGTGATGCCTTAGACGGGCTTAATCGCATAATATTTTGGATTAGTTAGGTAACGCGATGATTTGAACAAATCCATCATCTTTCGAATTCCCTCCAGTTGTGCCAGAACAATTCAAACCACTACAATACGAGCCCCCACCCCCTCCAGCTTGGTTTGCATACGTACCACTTCCTCCCCCAGAGTATCCCCCTCCTCCCCCAGAAGCTCCATTATCCTCAGACCCACCTCCCCCTCCACCAAACCCTCCTACTGCCCCAGGGGGTGGCCCTCCATTATAGCCACTATTCATTCCACCGGCTAGTCCCCCCACCCAGCCCTGGGCTCGCGACCCACCTCTTTCACCATGAGATGTGCCAGCTCTGGCACATCCCTGACTTAACCACCCTGCACCCACTCCCCCACGATAGTCTGCACCATAAGAATTACACTCACCGGGGTTACCTCCAACTCCTCCTCTTCGAACCTGGGAAGAACTTTTTCCTACACTACTGGTACCATTAGAACCCTCCTGACCATCTACCCCTTCATATCCCGCAGACGCACCCCCTCCCCCTCCGGCAGCTAACAACAGTGCATTAGCCCATGTATAAACAAAACTTCCTCCCCCACCCCCTGTCCCAGCATTATCCTCTACAGATAGCCCTAGTTCAGCTGCTGTTCTGTTGGTAGATTGTCCTCCTTCAACCTCTACTGAATTTCCTCCTCTTTGTCCTACTACAACGTTCAACATATTTCCTTTATTCAGTCTGAATATCCCCTCCTTGAATGCCCCCCTGCCGCCGTAGAAAGTTCCAGGATACTCTCCATAATTAGTGTTATGTGTTCCTCCACTAGCCCCCCACGCTTTTATCAAGTAGCGAGCGGTTCTCGGGACACGGAACTTCAGAATTCTACCGTACAGTCCATTGCGTCCATTTGTTGTAAAGTTAAAAAGATATTGCTCTGAAAAATAATCATTGAACTTTACATGTATATGCACTAGCCAAAGTTAATGAGGGAATTCAACCACTACATGTATAAAATCCATTCTAGCGGATATATACCGAACAAGAGTGTTATCCATTTTTCTAGCAACTACTGTTGAGGTAAACAACAGTTATTTATTAGCCAAATATTCTTTGTTTTTGAAGGGTGAGAGCAGGAGGGAAGGGGGGCGCAAGGTGACTCTATTGTTTTCCACCTCACTCCGCCTGCCGGTATGACGTCACATAGTAACTGGCAAATTCTCGGGTCGCTTGTCCAAATTTGTAAGGGATACCACAGTTATTAGGACGAGCGAGGCCGAGGAAAAGCTAAGACGCCAGAAAATATCGCTATATATCGCTAATTTGATCGCAAGTGTGTGAGCTTTTTTGTTGCTATAATCTGCTTGTGTAAACCGTTTTGATAATTTTTGTCCGTAATTGTATACTTTTGTCAATTTTTTTTTATGGCGGGCCGTGTTGCGGGATCGCCATCATTTTCTCGGGACCGGCAAGGTCCTCCAAACTTAAATCCTTTTTTTCTCTAAAACTAAGCAAGATCTAGTCTCCAGAATAGGAGGTTCCATTCACAGATCGCACATGTATATATTTCATTTATTCTTTCGCTAATCATAACTATAACAAAATTCTCAAATCTGATTGGCTATCAACCGCCCTGATGTCACCCTTAATAGCACAGTAAGCGTCATGCCGAAGTCATTGCACACTACGCGCCATCACGCGCGAGCTTAATTAGCTTTTTTCAAGGTGGCTGGAGACAGTTTCGCGGGCGGTCAGCGGTAACTCGCGTGACGGTGCGTGTTTCAAATTAGACAAACAAACATGGCAGCGAAAAAAGCAATGGACAAAGAAGACGAGTTCTCAAAATCTACTCATTAAAATTTTGTGATATTTGGCAGAATTTTTACTTTTATCGTATGTTAAATAATGAGAACTTTAAATGGAAGTTGAACAGAAGAGTTTTAATAATTACAGTACAATTATATTACTGATTATCTAAAAACCCGTCTGTTTAAGTTTGGTCAAATAAGTTTCAAATGGTAATGATTAATTATAGTAAGCTGTGGGCAAGTTTATAGGAAAATCTAATGAGCGAATTTTATGTCAACTGGGCAAGAGTGTAATTTTAAGGTTTTATTTAATCGTTCATGTTGCCATGGAAACTACAAAAAAGTCTAATTTTACCTGTCATTCAAAATCGTTCATCAATATATTTTTCACTTGCCAAGTTTCAGCTTGTGAGCTGCAACCTTTCGCTTGCCATAATTTGGCAAATGGCATATACTCGTATCACAAATTTTCTTAAAGTTATTATTAATTGGTAAAAGGACCGAGTGGAGTCCAATTCGGTCTGTAATCATACTCGTGATTAAACAAATCGGACTTTCGCTACGTGGTCGTCTGATTTTATTGATCACTGTCTCGTATGATTACAGACCGAATTGGACTCCACTCAGTCCTGTTACCATTACTAATTAAACCCCCAGGGGGCGGGGGGTACTGCCATATATGGGCTATATAGGTATGTGCCGCTGTGAAGGGTATGGTTTTCAAGCAGTTCACTCTAGGATAGGGTATACAAATCAGAGCGTTTCGGTCTAGAATAGGGTATCATTTTTCAGGAAACTAATCAGTTGGTTAAAGATTTTATCTAGACTAGGGATTGTGGTTTAAGGTTTTGTTTTGGCTAGACTGTGCTAGTGACCTCAGTAGTTTCTGGAAAACAGCTACTCTAGGATAGGGGGGGATTCGGGGAGTTTACTCTAGTATAGGGTAGCAAAATTCAGCTAAACTAGCTCTGGTATAGGTTAAGGGTTCCAGGGTCCCAGCGGCACATCCCCTCCAAGAAATTCCTAAGTACCCCCGGGATTAAACCGGCCTAACTTCATATCAATCCTTTTGAGTGTGGGCCTCTGTTGATTTCCTAGTTCTTCGCCAAGTTTAATCGATTATCTTATCGATCGGCTCGTTGAGCCCGAAATATGCGAAATAGCGTTGAACTTGACGCGCTTTAGCTACTTTTCCTCGATTGTATATTTGAATTCATGATGAATACAGCCGGTTTTGATATGACAAAATTAATTCTCTGAAACATGTGTGGCACTGTGGTGCAGTGGTCAAGGAGTTGCAGAGGAGTCGGGTTCGAAACCCAGCGACGCTGTTTGCCGTTTCTTTTCCTTTTTTTTTCCTTCTGTTTTAGTCTTTCTTTTTTAATCCCCTGACTTTTTTGGCCTGTTTTCCTTTATTCTTAGTGCTTACCCTGCTGCTCATGCACTTGGATCAATATATATTTGAAGCTTACACTGTTAGTCCAGAGTTTTATTTTGAAAAAGGGATTTCAAGAGCTCTTGATCTGCATATTGGCCTTACGGTCAGAAAAAAAAACATATTTTAAAAGCTGTCAAGACATGTCCCTCCTTTAAAACAGCTGTATGTTGGTTGACATCTTGACAAACAACACACAGTACGCCACAAAAAGTGCTTATCTACACCCAACACCACCAACACTGGCGAAATTTAAACTCCCAGGTTAATAAACTTGCCTTTTGTACCAGAGCTTTTGTACATAAGTCTTTATCATAACAATATCGTTATCTCAGACTAAAATCTCCTCTGGGTTTACCCATAAAACAATAATTAAACGAACCATTTATTGGCTTTCGGGATTTAATTACAGAATTACAGGTGTATGTTCAGTTAAAGCAACAAGATTTAATACTCACAAATACCTGTCATTTAGTAGCTTCCTCTTTTGACGCTACAGCGAATCGAACATTGAAAGTATTGATATCAGGGGCACCCAACGACGGTTTCCTCCAAAATACGATGAAAAGTACACTTTTTAGGCTATTCAGAGTACTTTTACATCTCTAGAAATGCATTCTAAGCGGCGCTACAAAATTTTTATCTGCTCGGTCATCCCGGCGAACTTGAATATTTTCCAAATTACAAGGGCTTCAGTGTTATTTTTCCGAAAATTTTAGTGCAATTTAACGTTTTACGAAAGTGAGAATTTTTATGATTTCTCTCTCCATCATATAATTTAGAATCAGAAAGTTTTAGGTTTCCTTTTTCTAAGAAAAAATAGTATGACCTGGGTAGTAAAATATGAAAAAAACAACCTTCAGAAAATCGTAGGGAATTTATTAGATAAGCTTCGAAAATTGTACATGAATGGAACGTTCATCTAGAAATTTTTAGCTGTCCTCAAGCAAAAGAAAATTCTAGGCAATGTTTGCTTCTTCGAACAGATATTTTCAGAAAACAGTCGTTGGGTGCCCCTGTGATATGGGGTTCCACTAGCTCTGAAGAGCTGAAAATTCGCACAAAAAAAACTATAATATATACTTTGATGAACCACCTATTTCTGTGTCTAAATTCCTCAATCTTGCTTTGTACTGGCCCTCAAAAGTGAGACCGGTCGGTATGATTGCCAGTAAAATTTGCTCGACGATAGAAACCACTGGATATTTCATTCCAAAAAAGTACCAAACTCTGGTTTCTATGACAATAGGGATCTTAAAATCTTCAAATTAAGGCATTCGTGTACCATTCCTACCGATTGCATTAATTCCACTAGCGAGGATTCGGACGTGGTCTTACGAAGGTAACCATGGCTCGAGAAAAATGGAAAAAATTCTTTGAAAATGTTATCAATGGATTGTGTTCGCCCTATACCTAAAAATAATTAAAGGAAAATAGAACTAAAAAATCAACAAGAACTGAATTGCAGTACAGTCGAACCTCTCCAATACGGACACCTCTATTACGGACAGTTTCCAATGTCCCGAGAAAATTCCCATATATTTTCATTAAAAAAACCTCTATAATACGGACTCTCTCTAATGCGGACAATGGACACTAAATCTCGGCTCCAGAGAGTAAATTCATATAAACTTAACCTCTTTATTACGGACACTGCGGTGATCAGGTGAATCCCGAATCCCGATCAGGTGAATCTGCACAGGGAAAATCCCGACTAGTCTGATGAGCTATGCAAGGTGATATAAAGCCGAGTCGCTGTATACCAAACAACGATTTGCGAAAGGTGTACAGAGGAGTATAACCGACTTTTTGAAGGCTTCAATAACCACAGTTAGCATAGAGATCTTTTCTGTTGCTGGTTTTCACATGACGTCACTAAGGTTCAAACTAAAAAGCTATCGATCCTACCGAGATCTTACTTTCACGATGCATTAGAGCAGCTGAAAACTAATTTTCATACAAATTTCCGCTTCAAAAGGGCTCTTGGTTTTGTGATAGAGTACGCTTGAATTTCTAAGCTTTTGCGTGACGCGGCATTTACATGACCGCCCAGAGAGCTGTCACGTAGGTTGAAAAAATGACTTATTTCCGGTAATTTTGCTATCTAAGCAGTTCATGTATTATGTAAAGTATTACTTTAATGTTTATGAGTTTCTCGAAGAATAAATTCACGCTTTTGCAACAAAACTAGGTAACAGATGTTTCTGTTGGTTTCCGTCCGCCATGTTGGAGCTCATCCAGGTGAGCACCAGCATGGCGTCTCCTTACAAATCTCTATAAGTTTGGGTAAAACATTTCTTCGGATATCTCGTGTTCGAAATATTCCTCTGACCTGAATCTTGGGGAGGGTCTTTGTGAATGTACTCCTTTCATTTCCCAGATTCTGGACTTTATCTATTGAATGGTTTTGATTTTGATCTATTTGGAATGCCGTGACACTGAAAACCAGCAATTACATTTTGTACTCTAGTTACTGTTTACTGCACTTGCAAAATAGCGAAAGACGCTTTCAGAATTGTGCTTTACGTTACAACTTTTTACATGCAGCCTTGCGCTGTAGCTTGTTTCGTTTTAAAACAGTGATTTGTCTATAGCTGAGATGTACAATTAATGTTTCGCCCCATGTAAGGGAATCCATGACAGTCTTGGATTCTGGATTCCACCCTGTGGATTCCGGATTCCGAGT